GGAACTGACATCGTCATTCAACATCATTCATTGTGACGTTCCAGAAACCAGTTTGAGACGAGAACCTGTTCCTCGTGGAACCATTTGAACCATAAGTGTCGTCACACTGTAGAATCAAGCCAGGCTTCCACGGAATCTTCAAACCCCAACATTAAAAAAAACAAACACTTCCTAACACCTCCAGTGAGGACTTGTTTCTGTTTTGCCAGATGAAACTATTCTAACTATTTCTAATCCAAATACTTCAAATACCTCTGTAGTAAATCACTCACCCAAATATTTGTCCCACAGTGACACAGACGGCTGATCCAGCTCCATTGTGTCCCCCTGCTGTTGTTCGGGGGTATTTAACATTTATAGGGGCAAACATGTCAGGACAAAGGGCGGCGAGGAAAACAGATCCGACCAACAATAGGATCTGACAAGGTCTCCGCGGGGGACGGGGGGACGGAGGGGGGAGACGGCAGCTACGGACACAAAGTTGCTAACGTACGCGCACGGTGGTATGTGTGCGGAGAAGACACGTTCACAGCAGGTCTGTTCCAGTGGCACTCGGAGTGAGACATTTTAGAACCTGACGCCTCCAGGTCCTTCAGTCCTCAACAGGACGCCACTTCTGTCTGTCCCTGTGAGGGGACGGTCTGTGGACAGTCTGTGGACAGTCTGTTTATGTCATTAGCTGCTTGTTTGTTAAAGACAACAGAACATGATGTCAAATTGAATGATCCTATTTAGAGGAAAAACTGCAATAAAGAAGTGGAATAAAGAGTGGAAAGAGTTAATGTTAATTTTTTTTATTTAGAGGAAAAACTGCAATAAAGAATGAGTGGAAAGAGTTTTTGGTGCTTTAAATTATTTAAATGTGAGTAGAATGTGTAAAACTGATACTTGTCTCAAATATTCACATCTAGTCTCTAGTCTAATGAAGAAAATCTGATACTCATATTTGGGTCAATAAACCTACAGGTCAATGTTTCCTGGAGTTTTGAATCAACTGAGACGAAGCTTCAGCCTCACAGACAAAAACCAGTGAAACCTTAGTCGTCTTGTTCTGTGGCTCCAGGTCTGAATACGAAATCTAAGCTAAACTACCAGTGAGACAAGGTTTTCTACCAGCCCAGAACTGACGGGATTTGGCCGTGACACTTTTGGGTCGACTAAAAAAACACATTTCAAACCACATTTATTCATGTTTGTGTTCCCAACACCTTAGAAAGCAAAGGTCACGTCCTGGCAGGAAACGTGACCATGAAACAGGAAAGCAGCCAAATCCTGAAGGATCTCTCTCAGGATCCTGCCACCTCACGCTGTCACGGGGCCACAGGAGTGTGGAGTTTAAAGTCTGGTCCCGGCTCCAGTGACGCGTTGGCACAGGCAGAAAGCAGAGCAGCTAACAATAACAGCAGCAGGTGGACGACGAGGCCCGGAGCATCATCTGGATACTGTGAGTTTCTTTTTCTTTTCCCTCCGTCTGTGATTATGTGAAGCAGTGATTTTGTTACTTGAGCCCGACAGCCGGCAGTCAGAGGACGAACAACAAAAACCCCAACGCTGGACGACGACGACGGCGGCGACGTTTCCTTCTGAATCAACACAACATCTGTGGAAGAGGCAGCTTTTTGTCTTCTCAGTGTCTGCACACCTGAGATACCAACCACCCCCACCCCCACCTCCACACACACACATACCCCTGCTCAGCACAATGGACTCCACCTTTCAACCCTTATCAGACGTTATTATCACAGCGGGGCCTGTGTGGGCGGGGGCGGTGGTATCAGAGG